TACGAAAGGAATTATCCTACTCATGACCTTGAGTTGACTATAGTAATCTTTGCTTTAAAGATCTCGGAGGCACTACTTATACGGTGTTTGATATAATATTTACATTGATCATAAAAGTCTCAAGTATATCCGTACTCGAAAGAGCTAAATATGAGGCAAAGAAGGTGGCTTGAAGTGCTTAACGACCATGACATCATTTTTCATTATCATCCCGAAAAAGTGGATGCCATGGTCGATGCCTTGAGTGGAAACTCGATTGTAGCCTTGCAAATACAGATTATGCGGGACATGTAGAGACTTCAATTAGAAGTTATCCCAAATCAAGGTCGAAGAAAATATTTATGCGTATTAACCATACAGCCAAATACGAAACAAAGAATTGAGGAGGGACAACAACAAGATCCGAAATTTGTTAAAATCCAGAAAAAGGTATTAGAAGGAAAAATAATGGATTTTGTTAGAGACGATGATGGTGTTTAGTGCTATCGGAATAGACTATGCGTCCCCGATCAAAAGGAGCTACAAGATGAAATTCTAAAAAGGGCCCATGCTACACATTATACTATATATCTCGAAGCACCAAGATATATCGGGATCTTAGGAAGACTTACTGGTGGAAGGGAATGAAACAAGATATTGCCAATTATGTCGTAAGTGTTTAACTTGCCAATAAGTTACGACCGAACACCAAAGGTCATCGGGATTACTAAGGCCTTTAGAGATTCTCGAATGAAAATGGAAACACATAACGATGGACTTTATACTAGGGTCGCCAAGGTCGAGTGGGGAGTAAATAGAATATGGGTCATAGTGGATCGATTAACTAAATCAGCCCACTTCCTAGGAATCAAGATAACTTATTCCATGTAACAATATGCGGAATTATATTTAAGGAAAATAGTAAGACTGCATGGGATTCTAGTCTCGGTCGTGTCGGATAAAGATCCGCTGATTCACATTATGTTTTTGGAAGAGTTTACGTTAAGTAATGGGAATTACATTAAGCTTCAATGCTGCTTTTCACTCAAACAGATGGGTAAACAAAACGGGTGAATCAAATAGTGGAAGACATTTTGAGAGCATATGTGCTAGATTGGTCAACAAGCTAGGAGAAATCTCTATTACTAGCCGAGTTTGCTTACAATAACAACTACTAATCGAGTACTAGTATGGCACCCTATAAAGCTTTATATGGAAGAAGGTGCCGATCACCAATACATTGGGATGACATAGGCGAATGAAAGTTGTTTGGATCGAGTTGATCTAGTAGACAGCAAATGTCGTCCGACGAAAGACAAGAATAAAGATGACATAAAGTCGACAGAAAATTTATGCTCGATATAAGGAAAAAAGAATGGAATTCCAGGTGGGTGATAGAGTATTTCGAAAATAGCCCCTATGAAAGGTGTAATGAGATTCGAGAAGAAAGAAAAATTGAGTCCGAGATATATCGGACCATAAGAAATTTTAGAAAGGATTGGTGACCGAGCTTACTCGTTGGCATTACCACCTTCATTATCATCAATCCATGACGTGTTCCATATGTCAATGCTTTAAAAGTACATAGAAGACCCAAATCATATATTAAGCAATGACCTCCCCGACCTCCAAGCTAATTTAAGTTATGAGGAAGGACTAGTGTAAATCTTGGATTGTGAGGTCAAGAAGTTACGAAATAAAGAAGTTCATTTAGTTAAAATATTATGGAGAAACCATGGAGTCGAAGAAGCAACATGGGAACGAGAAGCTAGAGAGGATTCGATATCCCGAATTATTCTAGTAGAAATTTCGAGGACGAAATTTTTATAAGGAGGGAAGGAAGTAACGCTCAAGACCCACTAAAACTAGAATTAAATAAAAATATAATATTTATTGTGTAAGAAATATTTTATTAGTACAAAATAACCTTTAAAGACTTAAAAGAATATTTAGGAGGGTCAAGGTAGGCTTTCATGCCTAATAACTATTTTAGTTATTTTTTTATAAATGGATAGTAACTTTTACATGAAATAATTATTTTCAGCATGTTGAATGTGCATGAAGAATATTTTATTTGCTTAGAATATTTATTAGAGGGATTTTGAATTATTTTATGTGAATTTATGATGTGATATGAATATTTTATTTTAATTTTGATGTGTTGGAATAGTATTTTTAGAGATAAAGAATTTAATTAAGCACCTTACGAGTATGAGAAATTTTTTTTAAGAGCATAGAAAAATCATATAGGATATGTAGGAGCACCTAATAAATTTAAATTAATTTTATCAAGTATAAGGAATATTTTTCATAAGAAATAGTATAATTTTCACACTAAATAATTAATTTGGAGGCCTAAATGAAGTTCAAAAATTATGAAAATTTAAAATAAATATTCTTAATAAATATTAGAATTTATTCTAGAAAAATTAAATTTTTGAAAGGTATAGAATAAATCTTGGAATTAAGGACCTAAGTGCATAGAAATTAGGGACTTAATTGCATAAAATAAAAAGTTTGAACTTCTAAATTAAATTAGATATGAACTAATGATTTTAAAAGTTGTTAAGATACCTTTAGTAGGAGGACTTGAAGTGATCAATTGACAAATTGAAGGATGATGGAAGGAGTAATTAGAGAAAATATTAACAAAATAAGGGAATAAAATTAAGAAAAATTTTGGACTCTTCCACCACCTTCCATCCAAAATTTGCAGCTTGATTAGGCCCTAAATAATGCAATTTGACTTGGTTAAAAAGAAGAGGTTAAGAAGCATGCAAGATGGAAGGTTTAGAATAAAAGAAAAATTAAAGGTTTAAGATTTGACCATTTGAAGGGGTAGGATTAAAATTCAATTTAAAGGCCAAGATCACTCAAAAAATCTTAATTCATGGGTGGATATGAGGTCAAAATTCCACCCAAAATATACCTATAAATAGGGGTGAATGAAATCAAGAAAAATGCACAAAAAATAGTGAAAACTAAGGGAAACTCTTGCCAATTTTTCTTACGAAATTACACCTAAAATCATCCAAAACCACCTCTAAATACCTTAAATCATCTAGAAAATCAAGGAAAATTATTTGAAAGCTCAAGAATTTCCAAGGGGAAAATTTTCAATTTAGGTCGAAATTTTGGAGAAGGAAGAGAGAAGGAGAAATTCTAAAATTTTTCACTTTTTAGATTTTAATTGGAGTATATCTAGGTAAGTTAACTTCATCTACACCACAAATAGGTTTAGTTTCATGCCAATTTTGCATTTAATTGCTTTGATTTGATTAATTGCATAAATTAAGAAAAATTAGGGTGGGGGTTATTGTTGGGGAAATGAATTTTGATGTGAAATTTATGAAATTGAGATGGAATTAGGTTGACTAAGCTTGAAATTGAGGATTAAAACTTAAAAATTCTTAGGGTTCTTTCAATGCTATCATCGGCCTAAATGCTTAAATTAGGAGTTTTTAATTCTTCCATGCAATTGATATTTTAGGACTTAATTATAGTTTATTTAGGTTTGAAGTTGTGTTTTAGAATGAAAAATTACACTTTAATTGAAGAAAAATTCACTAATTTAGGGGAATATAATTCCCAAATTAGGTCGAATATAATTCCCCTAAATGCTTGGAATTCAAGCCCTAAAATTTTCAAATTAGGTCGAATATAATTACCTTAAATTAATGAATATTGGCGATGTAGAAAGTTTTAGAAATCACTACTACTTCTCTTTTAGCTTCTCTTTAAAGTCTTAAAGTTTATTGGATTATAGAGTCAGATTCTATTAATACTATTGCTTGGATGAAAAATTCTTCAGCTAATAGACCTCCGAAGCTTCAAAGTATGAATTCTTAAAAGAATTAAGGTATATTAATGAGGAGTAAGGTAGTTCAGCATGCATGCATGCATGATATCACTGCATTGACTTAATTCTCCAGGAATCCAGGGCATATAGAGCGTGAATCCAAAGCTGCGTTTTGAGATTCCGAATTGGCCTTGCTGGAAAAAAGAAAAGAAAAAGGGCAACATATAGTTAGCATGAATCTAGACAGAACTGTGGACAACATGGAAAGTAAGTATAATTTTCTTTTCAGCTTTTGCAGAATTCCTAAAAGATAGGATCAGGGAATGCATTCAAGAGTGTAAGAAAGTTATAGCCACTCACTCGCTCAACCTAAACAGCATTCATCCAGTCCCCATTCTGACCACCTTTAGAATTCTATTAACCCTTCAAATATCCTATAATTTTTAATTCATTTGAAATTTAATTCTTGAATTTCAATTTTTTTGTTTTTAGTATCCCTGAATTCTTAATTTTTTTGAGATTTAATCCCTCTAATGATTTTTAACTATCACTTTCTTCTTTAAAAAATTCAAGAACTATAGACCATATTCATTTTTGGGTTTAAAACCCATCCTTCTCGATACTATTCAAATCTTTTCTTTGACCAAAGCTTTTGTAAAAGGATCGGCTAAATTATCCTTTGTGTTGATATAATCAACATTTATTGTATTTTTGTTTATATATGACCTCATAGAACTGTTTTTTCTTCTAAATCTAAATTTTTTATTATAATATCTATTACATATAGTTCTAGTAGCAGTTGTGCTATCACAATGAATTAAGACAGCTGATATAGGTTTGTCCCACATAGGAATTTCTTATAAAAGATCACATAATCAACCAGCTTCATCATCTGGTCGAGGCTAGAGCTATCAATTCTATCTCCATAGTGGATTTTATAATTATTGATTGCTTTTTAGATTTTCAACGTATTGTTCCGTCACCTAAAGTAAAAACATAACCGAGTGATAAATAATGAATTACCAAATAAGATGTTTCAATCAGCATCATTGTACCCTTCAAGTATGACATGATGAATCACCAAATAAGATAATGACATGATACTTTTGATATAACATATCATAATTTATTGTCCCTTTCAAGTATCTCATTAGACGAGTTATTGTATTCTAATGTTGAGCATTGGGTTTGCTAGTAAATCTTGATAGTACCGGGATGTCTCATGTGTTTTGCAGTTTTGTTGAATACCAAAAGAATTGCTGACTTCTATCTCTCTGATGAGGTAGAAGTTTCAGAAATCGCAACTTACAAGGGTCCATACCCGGTCTTAGCAGCATACGGAACCTATTATATTTGGAAGTTGTATCTGAATTTCATACTATGACACAATTGTTGCCTTTCAGTTAATGTTATCGAGTTCCTGTTGTAGGGATCTCAGCAGGAATGAGCTTACCGGACCCATACCACCAACACTTTCTGATAATATGAGCACTATGTAAGTAACTCAAAGTAGACGCGTAGTTTGTTATCTTCAAAAAAGGGAGATAAAACTAGTGAATTATTGACTGTACAGATTTCTATCAATTTGACCTTCTTCTTATTGTGAATATTTATAAGCAGAATTTATTCTAATTTCAAAACCTGTTTATAACCAAATTAGTTTTTCGTTAAGGTATTCCTGTACTTGGAAATTTATTCTTGTTGGATGCAGTGATCTGTCAGATAACCGTCTTAATGGATCTATACCCAGAAGTTTTTCAAATCTTCCTGTTTTGCAGAAATTGTGAGTTTATCTACTTATCTTTCTTCTTTACTTAGGAGTAAATAGTTCAAAGCAGTATCTTCAGAGCATCATTTATATTCTAAATGTTACTTTATTACAGGTCACTTGAAAATAATTTGTTGATCGGTTTTGTGTCTACTAACATGTGGCAGAACATGTCCTCCACTAAAAGTGCTTCTGTTAGTACTACCATATTTGTCAATGTTAGTATTTTGTTCATTTGCAGCCTTAACGGTGCAGATGAAAATGGATGGTGTGCAGAGCTTCACTTTCAAAGAAATGGTCTTGGCTACTGACAATTTTAACAGATCAACACAAGTGCAAGGCCTCAAGGGGGTTATGGAAAGGTTTACAGAGGCATTTTACTTGACAAAACAATGGTGGCTATAAAGCGTGCTAAAGACGGATCCTTACAAGGTGAAAAGGAATTTTTGATGGAGATCAATTTGTTGTCGAGGTTACATCATCGAAATCTAGTTTCCTTGGTTGGATATTGTGTTGAAGAAGGAGAGCAGGTAATACTTTTTTTGGGAAGTACTTTCTACTATCCTTTTTGTTTTTGAGAGTCAAATGAGAAGGGAATGTATGGAAGTGTCCCTGGAATGTATCCATCTAATTATTTTATGAGCAATACTACTGCTCATTTAGAATGTGAATTATGCTTAGGAGTAAATTGCATTTATTTGTTTCAAATTTCTAAGAGGTTTTTTTCCCAACCAAGTTTTTCTTTCTGCTTGTTGCACATTAATCAAGTTTTGTTCTACCATCTTATAAAGAAGCTGGGTGAGCTTATGAACGAGAGTCACTACAGCTGCAGCGTTCTATATGAATGCAGGTACAAATGCTCAAAGTATATTTTCAAGAAATTTGTGTACATTGACACTGATGGACTGATGTTATCATAAGCCTTGCATGGCTGCTGCCTCTTTTGTTATGCTGATTGTACCTGTTTCTTTTGTTGCTGGTATCTAGCTGCCCAGAGTTGGAAGAACTTGTAAAAATTTGCCGCGATAATGATGCATTGGGGGCAAGACTTACAGGAGCTGGATGGGGTGGCTGTGCGGTCGCTTTGGTGAAAGAACCAATCGTCCCTCAATTCATCCTCAATTTGAAGGTATTTTTACATTTTTTTTTATGGAAAATATTGATTAAACGTAGAACTTTAACAAGTCTCCTGAATTGTCAACAGGAAAGGTTCTACAAATCAAGAATTGACAAGGGAATAACTGGCAAGAATGATCTTGGCCTCTATGTTTTTGCTTCAAAGCCTTCAAGCGGGGCTGCTATTTTCAAGTTCTAATGCTGTCTGCTTGTTTCTCCTTTGGAAATGAACGCCAGGAGTTCATTTTGTCTTAGCTTTATTTATGTCAAGACAAATGAATTATCTATTCAAATCAATAAAATTCTTCAGCTAATAGACCTCCGAAGCTTCAAAGTATGAATTCTTAAAAGAATTAAGGTATATTAACGAGGAGTAAGGTAGTTCAGCATGCATGCATGCATGCATGATATCACTGCATTCACTTAATTCTCCAGGAATCCAGGGCATGTAGAGCGTGAATCCAAAGCTGCGTTTTGAGATTCCGAATTGGCCTTGCTGGAAAAAGGAAAAGAAAAGAAAAGAAAAAGAGCAACATACAGCTAGCATGAATCTAGACGGAACTGTGGGCAACATGGAAAGTAAGTATAGTTTTCTTTTCAGCTTTTGCAGAATTCCTAAAAGATAGGATCAGGGAATGCATTCAAGAGTGTAAGAAAGTTATAGTCACTCACTCGCTCAACCTAAGCAGCATTCATCCAGTCCCCATTCTGACCACCTTTAGAATTCTATTAACCCTTCCAATATCCTATAATTTTTAATTCATTTGAAATTAAATACTTGAATTTCAATTTTTTTTGTTTTTAGTATTCCTGAATTCTTAATTTTTTTGAGATTTAATCCATCTAATGATTTTTAACTACCACTTTTTTCTTTAAAAAATTCAATTCTTGATATTTTAACCTAAAGTTTTACGCGTACGTTGAAAAAAAAATCCAATTCACTTTCTAAAAAAATTCAAAATTTTTCAAAATTGAAAACGTTTATTTATTGAACATTATAAATATAAAAAATAAAAAATAATCCGAAATGATCTCAAATTTTTTACCCATTATAATTGCCAAATTACTTAAAGCATAATCCTTTTGAATGTGGAAATCAAGCAGAATATTTCATCTCTCAAAGCTCAAAATCAAGAGAAATACTTCTATTACGTTGTGTATATGCTAATATAACAAATACATATCTATAAATAAAAAGATTAAGTAATTCATTTCGTAAAAATAGAGGGACTAATTTATAATTTATTCATAAAGTTGGTTTCAATTATTATGGTAAAGCTAAGTAGCTAGCTAGCTAGCTACTGTAACAATCTCATCCACATCTCTCTCACCGTACCATTCCTTTCCCTCACCAGATTTTCTCAAACCATTCTTTGTGCTTCCTTTTCTAATTCAACCAAATCATCTCAATTTTATCTTGCGTTCCAGGTAAATTTTACTTTTTTTTTTTTTTTGCACCATTTTGTTTTTTAGATGTAGGTATTGGTTATATTAAAATTACTGCTAAGTTGTAGAATTTGTAGTTAAAAAAACTTTGGAGTTAGGATTAATCTGGAATGCTAGTGACAATTTTCAATTTATACGTTCTTTGTAGTTAAGATTAATCTTGAATACTAGAGACAGTTTTAAATAAATTTTACATTTTTTTTTTACCATTTTGTTCCGGGCACTTTTTTGCAGAATAAACACCATTAGAACTCAATTTCCAGGCAATATCACTGTCATGTCTACTAGCATTTTTGACAAAAACACACCACAAATAGCTCCTTGTAGATCCACTGGATATACAGCAATCAAGTTTCCGTCCTTGCATTTGGCTAATATAAACCAATTATTGTCCTTTATGATTTCAAAAACTTTAGCACTGAAAAAAGCAAAGTTTAGAAGAAGAGAAAGAAATGGTGAAAAACAGTTTCTATAAGATAATATAACCTTTCGCTTCTAATATTATTACTAGCAACTTCTTACTTTAGAATATTATTACTAGCATAATATTGTGTGTGCATTGCCGCAGGTAAGTTTACAAATATGTTTTATTATTTTCAATAATTAAAAAAAATGGAGTAAAATAAAAATTAATTAAAACTAATTGTGAAATTATATATATATATATATATATATATATATATATATATATTAAATAATTGAGTTTAAATTTACCTTAAGAATATTTTTTATTTTGATCAATAATAAAACAAGAAAAAAACATGCAATTAATTAATTATTTATTAAAAAATCAAATTAAAAGAATATACTAACTCAATTTATATTAGAAGAGTGTTTAATTTTAGTTAATGAGTCTATATAAAATTACATTATTTTTTTATATTTTAAATAATTAAAAAAATCTAGGCATAAAATAAAAAATTGATTAACACCGATTGTGAGAATCTATTTAATTTAATATATATTATGCAATATTTAGTAAAAAATATATTTAATAATTAAGTTTAAATATATCCTAAAATATTTTTTATTTTGATCAATAAAAAACTTACAATTAATTATTTATTTTTTAAAAAATTAATTTATATTATAGACGTGTTTAATTTTAGTTAATAAGTCTATATAAAAAAGTAATAATTAATTATAAAACATTATTTTGAGTAGATATTAAATAATAAAAAAGTATAAAAATAAAAAATAAATAAATAAAGAGGTTGGGCTGAGCTAATAACAGGCTCATTCGTATGAGCCTAGAGACAACCAAGCCCATGTGGTTGGGTTGGAAGCATAGTTCAACCATAAAAAATTGCAAGGACCTATTTGCAATACATCTTTAATTAAGGGATCATTTTGAATAAAGTTATAAATCAAACTACTAAAGTATAAAAATTTGACAAATTGAAAAATATCACTTATTTTTTTTAAAGAAAAAGTCATAGATTCAAGCCAAAAAAAGTTCAAAACGACATCAATTTGGTTGGTTGTAGCGAGGCTTAGCTATATTGAAACACCATTCTCTTTTAAATTATTTACTAGCATGGTACTATCATCTTGCCGCACCTAAGTTTATATAATATATTTTATTATTTTCAATAATTAAAAAATCTAAATATAAATTAACATAATATAATTCACCTTAATTAAATTAACCTAATCAATCAACTAATAACTAATTTAAATTAACTCTAATTAACTCTATTGGAAATTAACTTAACTCAATTAGCACTAATTTAGATTGATTAATTAATTAAATTAACAAAAAATCCTAACAACTAACAAACAAATTAACTAATTAATCAAATCTAACGTAACAATTAACACAAATAGCTAATGGGTATGAAAAAAACGTGAGAGAACTAACAAATGGGCGGAAGCGAGAGGAGAGGAAGGAGAACAAGTTAAACTCTCGGTCTTTTGAGGGAGAGAGGAGCGACTGTGTCAATTGGAGTATGTCTGGAGAGGGAGTGGAGTCGCATTGTGTGGCAATTTTGGGCCTAGACAATCGGCAACAACAAGAGGAGAAGGAAGAGGAAAAAGAAATTGGGGAGGAAGAAGAGTTTTTGCTAATTTATGGATTAAGGATTAGCGATGGACGTGATTCCATCATTAATCCGTCGCTAATTAGTGAAGGATTTAAGTGTCCATCACTATTTTGAATTTTAAACTATTGATTTATTTTTTAAAATTTTCAGAACTCGGAAAAAAATAGTAACAAAATACATGATTTCATCGCTAATCTATCACTAATTAGCGACAGGATTTATCTATTTGTCATCGAATCGAATTTCAAACTACCGTCTTATTTTTTGAAATTTTTAGAAATGGGGGAAGTAGTGACGAAACCTAAGGGTTTGCTTCGAAAAGCAACAGTTGTTGACCTAACAATGGGAATTAGTGATGAAATTGTTATTCCATTGATAAATTCTCTCACAAATCCGTCACTATTCCATTGCTAGATTAGGCTTGTATTTTTCTTGCTCTATTTAGCAACGGAACTTTATCCGTCACTAACATTCCATCGCAATTTAGTTTCTAAACTTTGCATTTCATTTTGGTCGCTATTTTGTCACAAAACCGTCACTAAATAGCGACGATTTTGCATCTATCGTTAATTTTTGACGCTAATCCACAATTTAAATATATCCTCGAAATATTTTTATTTTGATCAATAAAAAACTTGAAATTAATTTTTTATTTTTTAAAAAATAATTTATATTATAAGAGTGTTTAATTTTATTTAATGAGTCTATAAAAAAAAGTAAATATTAATTATAAAAAAATATTTTGATTAAATAATAAATAAATAAATCAGTATAAAAAAGCAAAAAAAAAAAAAAAAACGAGGTTGGGTTGGGCTAACGCCAGCCCATCCGTATGGGCTTGGAGCCAACCAAACTCATGCGGCTGGGCTGGATTGCTTGAAGCATAGCCCAGCCATAAAAAAGTATAGGGACCTCTATGTAATACATATTTAATTAAGGAATCGTTTTGAATAAAGTTAATCGAATTCAAAGGGTAAAAAAAAAGGACAAAAAATAACCTTTTTTTTTTTTTGGAAAAATCGACGTCGGTTCAAGTTAAAAAGACTCAAAACAACGTCACTTTGACTTATTTTAACCGGACTTAGCTATAGTAAAACACCACTTTGTTTTAAATTATTTACTAGCATAGTATGTGCCTTGCGACGAGTAAGTCTATATAATATATTTTATTATGTTAAATAAAAAAAATCTAAGTGTAAAATAAAACTTAATTAACACTGATTTTAAGAATTTATTGCTATACCTAGGGACATGGAGTGGCCCCAAACGTGCTCAAACCAATCTACTCTGCTATTCCTTACTCCAAGTTCCTCCTGCAATCTCCTGGAATTGAAGACTCCATTAGGAGAGAGTTTCCTCTTGACAGAATCATCATCATTACTTGAAGGAAAGACAACACCACAAATAGCAGTTTGTATGCTGGGCATTTCATCTGAACTAGCACTAGGCCAATACCAATCTCCATTTGAGATGAAATCACAAAATTTAGCATTGGAAGGAAGGTCTGATTTCCAGCAATCTTAGTGTTTTAAATTATTTACTAGCATAGTATGTGCTTTGCGGCGAATAAGTCTATATAATATATTTTATTATTTTAAATAAAAAAATGTAAGTGTAAAATAAAACTTAATTAACACTGGTTTTAAGAATTTATTGCTATACCTAGGGACATGGAGTGGCCCCAAACGTGCTCAAACCAATCTACTCTGCT